TAGAAATAGCTCGAGTCTGTGAATGATAGATGGAGGCAGATGTTAACATTCAGTCTTGCGGGCGTTTCTATTCCTGAGGCAGAGAACAAGGTCAAATGAGTCTGAACGAAGTTACAATAACAACTTAACCTCTTGAACCGATGCACGGACTCTGTGAGCACTTTAATGGAGTCGGCCCAGAGGCGTAACCCACACCCCTGATATACCGCGTTTTTAATACGATGATTGACTTACCAGCTTTGGCCTAAATTCAGTGATAAACTCATCTCACTTTTCTTTATTAATGCTTCCACTGGGCCCATTTAAGAAACAGTCATACATCCGAACACCTTCCTTTAATTGTTCAGGCGTCTTTATCTGATTGGTCGACTGTCTGGAACTTCTCCTATCAAATCCCTGCAAACAGATCTGCAGCTATTTTGCCTTCACTGAGAAATTTGCAAGTAGAGTGGGATTAATATTAATTAAAATTATCTTGTGCACCATGAAACGTTTTCATATGTTTTAAATAAGTATAAAAAGTACTTTTGTTTTCTTTTAGATTCATTTTATACCCAAAAAAATATTGAATTATGAAAGTCGGCTTTAATTTTATGAGTCTGAGAGTCGGTTTTTTGTCCAGATACAAAATTTAGCCTAGATCAGGCTAAATGTTCCCCCTGCTTTCAGTCTTTATGCTAAGCTAGGCTAATCGTCAGGACTGTGGTCTCACAGTCACGTGGACTTGAACCTTTAGGTGCAGTGGTGCTCAGGAATCATGACAGGGACTTTACACAGAACCTACGAAGACTCAAAAAGCATCAAACTGAAAAACTGAATCTCAGGAATGACGATGAAGTAAATGGGGGGGGGGGTGATAAACAGGTCTATGACAGTGTTCATGTTTGTCGACTGTAACTCTTACACCTTTAAATAAATGTTTTAATGATTTATCGTTTTATCGACTGTTGTGACCAACCTGCCTCCAAATTCAAACTGCTGCTCCTCAGACGCCGTTGCGAGTGTGTGGACTCGACGACGAGTGTGTTAGAGCGACGGCGAGGCAGGTAAATGTGTGTAATCAGCTCTAAAGGCACACACACTTAAACAGAGAGAGCTTCGCAGCTGCTTTATCGACTGCTCGGGAACGATTCGCACTTTCCATTTGGCCACCGTCTTTATCTCCGTCCATCAGCCCTGCAGAGGAATTCACCTTGGCTCTTCTCTTGGCTCGGATCAATGCAGGCAGATTTAGAGATGGCATCCAACTGATACAGGACACACACACACACATAAATCCACACACTCACTGCAGTGCTGTGCAGGCCTGAAGGTTTGATGAGAGGTGCTAGCAGATGTCGGTAGCATGACGCTGACGACGAGGGTGAAGTTGAGAAATGCTGATGTTTTATTCAGTTCAGTGTTGAGTTATTCAAAATATTACGTTAGTTCAATACCTAACATAAGAGAGCAGAACTACCCCAGTCAATATAATCCCCCGTATCGTTTCTTCTCTTCTTCTTCTGTCTTATCCTCTCCGACGGGTCCTGACCTCCGGCTGAGCTCCTCTCTTTAATGGCGTGGAGGTGCACCGGTGTTTAAAGGTGGTATTAAGGGGCGCTCGTGGATCAGCGGGGTCTTCATTAATTGCACAGTTGGCGGTTTGATCCCGAGCTCCTTGTGTCAACATATAGAAGAGGAAGACGCACCCTATTGATCCAAGGATATATTTAGAATTGGTTTCGATTTCTTCGTTTTAACTCATCCCCAGAAAGTTGCTGGTTCAAAATGACGCAGAGTTGTGTTTCTGAAATCTCAGGAAAAATACAATTCTAGTATTTTGTCTAAATCTAAAACTGAATCCTGCTAGCTCCACTGTTTCCTGCCTTGTTTTATGTGTGTTTAAAGTTTTGAGGCGGTCGTTGTCGCAGTTGTAGGGTCTGAAATTTAACCTTGGAAGTTTTGACCAAAGCTCTGGAGGATCTGCGGGTAAAACTGCTCGTGAGCAAACTTGATCCTTTCTCTGCAGCAGATTGTATCTGTTGTGAGGGGAGGAGGAGCGGTTTGGATTTATAACAAGTCTAGAGCAAAGACTGCAGCCTCCTCCTGGTCAGCACCATCGACGGCTCAGTATCTCTCTGCATTATTCAGCAGCTCTCGTACTTCTCTCTCTCTCTCGCTCTCTGTCTCTGCTCGACGCAGACTGAGAGGAAAAGCTCTTCAAGCTGCGGCGGGAGCTCCACTTGGCGTTTTGCGTACCAACTCGTGACCCATCTGTGGGCATCATGTGGGTGTGTGAGCTCTCGAACGTGTGTGTTTATATTTACGAGTGGACCGGAGCTTGAAGGGAAAACCGCACACTGGTTTGTGAAGGGGCGAGCGGCGGACGGTCCAGGCCCCGGTGGCTGCTGGGTGGAAGCTGCCTGCTGACATCCACACTGTAGCAGCCAGGCTAATTGCCTGTCTGTCCTCCCTAAAGGGCAAAGCTGCAGTACGCCTGGTGCTGCTGCTGCTGCCGGCCTTCGTGGCAGAATAGAGTTTAATCTTAAAGTGCTGTTTTTGCCTCATTTACACATCTGGGCTTGTTTTATATTTTCTCTGCCTGTGTCAGATGTAGCAGAGTGTATTGATCCCTGCCTGCAGCCTCACACCTATAGTCCTATTAAATTATGCATCAAATGAATCTGCAGCTCCTTTTAAAAAAAAAAAAAAAAATCCTTGCAGAGTTTTCTTCCTCCCAGACCGCAGCTTCATAAAATTCTGTTTGTGATCTCGTCTTCACTGTTCAAGCACCATATTTTTCCTTTTTAAAATTATTACCAACGATGAATCCGTCCCTGTAACAAGAGCTGCAAGTGTTTATCCAAAGTCTGTTGCACAGGGGGGACGTTAAATCCCACTCACTCTGTCCTGCTGCCACGAATACTCCCAACATCTCTGAACGTGGATTAGTCCGCCTCCCTAATGAATACACAATTTCCTCCTTTTCGAGAAACGTTCAATAAAAGGAAACAAACACGTTACAATATGTGGCACTCAGTAAATCGTGCAGACCAAACAATACTACACATGATTCTTTTGTATTTATATCGGACATTTAAAGAAAAAAGGAAGTGGTCTGATAATCTTAATTATTTATTTAGGTCCTGAATCAACCGGCTCCAACTTGTGCGATCTTTCTGGATCCAGGCCTAATAATCTTTCACGGCTCTCAAAGCCTAAAACACCCAAATCTTGAAAAGTTAAAGAAGGTTTGAAAAAGTTCAGCGTCCAACCTTGATCTGATCTTTCCTGGGTCATGTCCCTTCACGTCATGTAAACAGACAATCTGACTCCTCCGATCTGTGGCTGTGTGAAAGTTAATGCGTGCGTTAATGTTTCGTTGCGTCCCCGCCCCAACATGTCCCGTCTTGTTAACGGTGAACTGGTGACAGTCGTGATGAGGTTATAACAGCCTCCGTGAGACAATCAGCTGGTTCAGAGCTTCATCAGATTAGTGTCAGATTTCAACGCCGCCTGCATTAGTGTTGACTGTGAATGTGTTTTTATTTGTGTGTGTCTGTTTGCACCACCCTGACGGGGTTTTTATTAATGTGGCATTAATAACACTGCAGCCAACGTGGCTGAGAAGAAGGAAGTGAACTCAGACCACAACTTCAACCAGTGGGGAAGTTGTTCGTGGCCTTTTAGGAACAGAGACTTTTTCCACTTTCTGTGATCGTCTGTCGTAGCTGCGGAAGATATTACTACTGTCGTCAGGATAATGGAGCTCAAGGTGTTTCACACATGATTGAAATTAAAAAGTAAGAACAGATCATTTCAGCAGCAGCTACATCTTTAAACTGGATCTGAAAAGGCAAGGTGGGAAAGATGATCTCATGATTATTTCTCTCCTGAGACGACGTGTTTCTGTATTTAGCTCCGTCTGCTTCTGATCTGTTCCCACTTTTAGCCTCTTTGAACAATAGCACTGCTTTGTTCTTTGACAATAGTCGGCACATGCTCTTTAGCTTTGATTTTCCTTCATGGACGATTTATTATTATTAAAAAAAAAAATCGCTTCGTACGCTCATCTTTACGCGTTAATTAGCTGCAGCTGATATGATCTGCCACTAAATGTGTATTTAACTGCTCAAAGTAACATCGTGTGTAAAGATAATAAATCAGCTGCAGGAATGTTTTGTTCATTGCTAAAAGACAAAGGAGAAATCGAAGCCTCCATTAGCAGAGGTGTTTAGATAATCTGGATCTTAATCAGCATCACTTTTCAACGTCCTGAGTACAGACGTGCACGAGTACAGACGTGCACGAAGTGGACTTCCAGAAAAAGGCGTGCGACGCTCGAGAGCAGTGAATATCCATCCTCTTTTCTGTCTTTGACCCTGGAGCTTCAGAGGTGATAACAGCTCTTCACTCTCCGCTCACAAACACAGATATTTCCTGTCCCGATGCAGCGGCCAGATAGACGTCACGAGAGGCCTGTTGCTCGCCCCCCCCCACCCCATCACATCACAAGACCCTTCATGCTACATCACGTCTGTCTCATAATGAAGTTTTAATGGAAACTGTTTATCACCAAACTGTCATCATCAGCCTCCCTTCAGCCTCTCTCTCTCTCTCTCTCCCTCTCTCTCTCTCCTCCCAGGCTTCCACAGAAAGAGAACTCACATTTTCCTCAAAGCGATCACTGAATCACTGAATGGCCGCTCCTTTTCTTAAAGATGAGTCGTTACTAGTGCATTTCTGTCTTTGCCTTCTAGAGAAATCGTCTGATAAATATTTTTATTTTTGTGACATTTGGAAAAACTTCCCTGAGCTTGGTCGGTTGTCTGCAAACAGCGATCCTCCCTGTTCTGCCTGTGTGTGTGCGTGTCTGATGTGCAGAACAGAGCCTGTTGTTGTGTTGTTGTGTCAGGGTGGGGGAATGTTGCGAGTGGGACTGACTCGCTCCTGAAGTCAGATTTCTGTCTCTCTGCCTCCTCCCCGTGTCGCAGCCACAGTAACAAACAGCCGCATTGTTGACAGCAGCGGCTCTGATCTCACTTCTCTTTGCCTCGGGGCTCATGGTTCCTCTCTGTGGCCGCGGAGCTGTGACCTTGATGGGATGAGGGTGTTCAGGTTGTGTGTTAAAAGTGTGTTGGACCTGGTTGAACTGTGACCGATGCGGACTAAAGCTCTGACTCGATCGGAGGATCCACTGGACGGCTTGAAAAGAGGTAACGGATGAAGCGGCTCTTGAGGAGGTGGACTTTATCCAAAGTTTAATTTTAGTTTGACGATAGATGTGTTTTATTTTCATGTTTGATTTAAAGTGTGTTTGTGTTGCCACATCCTTTAAACTTCTTCTAAATGCAGTTTTCAAGAACAGTTTCAGTCTTTTGATTAAGTGAGCCGCTGTGGCTCAGGAGGTAGAGCGGGTCGTCCACTCACGAGAAGGACAGCGGTTTGATCCTCAGCTCCACCAGTCCACATGCTGAAGCCCCAAATTATCCCTGAACCTTTTGATTTATTTTTAAGATTTTCAGCACACAGTTATATCCAGACACTCTTCTTCTACATATGATCTTCATGTAATACCCTAATATTAGAAAGCTAATGATGGATAATGATGTGGTGTGAAATGTCTGCTGCTGCTGCCTCATCTCTTGTTAGCCTGCGAACATTAGCTCATAGCGAAGCCATGAAAATTTCAGCTCGGAAGTTTTAAACGATTCGAGAAACGCAGGGAGCAGACGCTGTGTGAGTTCATTATTTTCACAGTTGGAATCAGGACGACCGACGGAGCCTGTGATTATTGGTCGACACCGTGTGACCGTGTGTCTGAGGTCACGTCATGTTCGTGTGGTCGAGGGCCAGGATGGAGACTCAGACGGGGGGGGGGGGGGGGGGGGGGGGGGGGGGGGGGGGGGGGGGGGGGGGGGGGGGCAGATGATTGTTTTGGAAGTTCAGTAATCACATGTCACAGTTTACAGTGAAGTGTTGCCTCATCGCTTGTTTGTTGTGGAGCAGGTGACATCACTCTGTGTGTGTGTGTGTGTTTGTGTGTGTGTGTGTGTGTGTGTGTGTCACATGTTTCAGTGAAGCTTGAATTAGCTTCACTGTGCGTTCTTTAAATAGTTGAATGTATTTGAAGCCGTTGAAGTTGGACCGTGATGCTGCTGCTTTTTTCCAACTAAAAGCAGAAATCAGTTTATTACCATGAAGACTGAGAAAATAAGGAACCACTGCGTTTAATATTTAGAGGAGGGAAGTTGTAATGAGTTATCTGAGGCTGTGAAACGAGGTGAAAAGTCAGGATTGACAGCTGAACTCATGACTCATGTCCTCAGACGCGCTGCAGTTTATCAACGAATCAAAGTATTTCTACTCTTCTCCGTGACCTTACGTTCGTTTATTTGCAGCCAGAATATTACATTTCAATATCATCGCACTTAATGATCGATGCTTTTCTCAGACAACCTGCATGAGATTCGTTCAGTCCCTCCTGACTGAACCCACCGACACACACAGTGACTTCTGACACATCTGTCTATATGAGCAGAAATCACGTACGTGTTTATTTGCACACAGAGCCGAGAAGTATGATCTAATTGCAGTTGGTCACAGGAGACGTATTCAGGACACTCAACTACATTTGTGATCGGATCTCTCAGGACTGGATGTTAATACCAGGTCTGAAGACGATGGCAGCGTTAGTATTAGAGATTTTCTGGCTTCATTTCCAGATAGTGGGAGGTTGTGTCGTCCATCTTTAAGCTTCCACATATGCAAACGTCCTGCTCGGGTTTTGCTGAAAATCAAAACTACATAAATTGAGCTTCATTCAAAAGTCAGAAAAGTAAAGTAAAAGTAAAATATAGTAATTATCATGAGACGTTTGAATGTCTTCAGCAATCGGACACTTTGAGTTTTCTGCTTGTGTGAATACAGGTCAGGTCTTGGCTCCAGCTGAACCCAGTGAAGCGTCGGTGCAAGATCAAAAGACGGGAAATTAGTTCTTCTCCGAGCGACCTCTCCACTGTTATTACCGTCATTATCATTATGATTATTATTCCTCTTTCTGTGCAGATAGCATCCATGAGAGATGTTTGGGGGGTATCACAAGTGACGGCTCCTTCACATAAAAAACAAAGAGGGCTCATTACAGCGGAGGAAACTGGAAAGACTGTGATTACGCTTGTCGTGTTGTTCATTGGCAGCACTGTAGTCTTAAACAGCAGCGATAATGACGGACTAACACACAGATACACCCCCCCACTTCACTTCCTGTCACATGTGGTGGTCTCCAGCAGAATTAGATTTTATTCTGAAACGAATCTCTCTAAGTCTCTAAAGCTTCACGTTTCTTCCCCCTGACTGAGGGGTATCAGTAAAATCCCACGTGACCTGAATGCAGCATGAGGAGTGATGGAGGGGGGTGCTGGTTCCGTCCAGCTGACCAGGCGAGGGTGACGGACGGAGACATTTTAATCACAGCAGGACGGGGGACACTTAGCTGGAGCTGCCATCAGCCTCACCACTGGGGAGAGACTGGCAGCCGAGAGCGGAGGAGGCGGAAAGTGTGTGTGTGTGTGTGTGTGTGTGTGTGNGTGTGTGTGTGTGTGTGTGTGTGTGTGTGTGTGTGTGTGTGCGGCCTTGTAATGAAGGATAAGCAGCATGACGAGCGTCAAAGGCGGAGAAATAATAATCCACCCTTAAATCCTGTTAACCCCTTCGTACTTTTGTTGGTGAATCTGTTTAATCTACTTCCACTTCGTGTGACGTCTGAGTGATTCACCGTGTTTCTCAGATTCATCCGAGCGCTTCATTTCATTTTGTGCGTCAGTTCTCCAGAGAGAGCGGCTGCACATCCGTTACTGCGTGATTCTCTTTCTCAGCAGCTTCAAGAGGCAACTTTCCCGGAAAGTAAAGAGTCGTTCCGTGTTGTGTGGATGTTTTCTGGCAAATATTAAATTCAATATCCACAGTTTTTTTGTCTCCACCAACTCCTGAGAAGAAATCTTCTTCTTGCACCATGTTTTGTTTTCTATAGGTTTTCCGCAGCTTTTCACTGCATCACATCTGAACCTGTGCTTATTCGTTTCTGGCTCGTGTCCTTTAGTTAAAACGTCCACCACCGTTAACCTGTGGTGTCCAGATACAGTCTCTTTGGGTGTTTGTGCTCGTCAACATATTTCAGAGCTGTTAAAAATGTATTTCAGTCTCTCTGGGTCATATTCTTTGATCGACCGTAAAACTCCTTGGACTCACTGCAAGTCCGACGAGGGCTCCTCGGCCGCAAATAAAAACAAACACGTACGCCCCCCTGGTCCCCGTCACGGATGCCAATGTGATCCTCGAAGCATGAAAATGGCTCTAATTGCATTTAGCTTAAGTCAGGCCACAGTGGAATACTAATATGGCTTTAAGGGGCTCAGAGTCAGAGCTGAGCGTCAGTGCAAAGAAAAGACTGAATCCTCATTTCCTCCCCAATTCCTCTGCGCTCACTATGGGAACCTCAGGGGCCTCCTGGGGTGGACTTCCCAGCAGAAAAAGGGCTTTACTGTATTTGTTTATTTGCCCCAGGCAAATTGTCCTGATGGGGTATGGACGTCCACAGCGTCTTCTTCCACTGTGTGTGCTCTTGGCAGCCCACAGCCGCATGTCTTCCACCAACACACACCATCCTGTCATAAAAATGCCAGCCGGCTCAATGAGGGGCGCGTTTGTTCGGAGCGTTTTCAGGAATTCCAGCGGAGCCGTTTACTCCCGGTGAACCCCTTGAGACCCAGAGAGGAAGTGGGAGAATGACTGCAGTCAAATACTTCCTGTTAAAAAACCAGCGAAAAGAAAGCAACTGGGAATATATTACATAACCTCTGGGACTGAGGGACGTGAGGTTGTTGGAGGCCAGAGTCGTTTTAGATAAATGCTGCTAGTGTCTGGTACAAGTCTTTACAAGTTTATCTTAGTGTTTCAGAAGTAAATTAAAGTTCCTTGTTTCGTTCAGCGGCTCTGAGAAGTGTGTGTTTTAGTGTGTTTGTGTGTAACAACAGAAACACAAAGACATATACCCTCATGCGGCGTCGAGTCACTGCCAACGTCCCTGTCACAGCAGCTCTCAGTTTAAAGGAGCTCGTCTCATCAGCACACGCAGAATCACACATTATTCTCTGAGGCTGAGGTCAGACTGCTTTAGATGTGTGTGTGTGTGTGTGTGTGTGTGTACTCCACGTCAGCTCCTGGCGCTGACACATCGAGGGAGAGCTGGAGAAACACAAAGCGAGTCTGTGATCACACAATACTGTGATAAATATACACTGATAAATATCAACTCTGAATTCATTTGTTTTATTAGGGCCCGAGCGCTGTGAAGCAGCGAAGGCCCTATTGTAATTGTTTTTCGTTGTATTTGTGTTTTCTTTTACTTTAGATTTTATTTTAAACGTTTATGGTTCATCTTTAAAATATCTCCACTTAATTAAACGTCTTCATTATTATTATTATTATTACCACTTAGTACTGGTGTCAGCATCGACCCCCAAATCTATCCATATTAGTCACGTCTAATATTGACGTGGATAACAAACAGAGCCTGGTCACTGTCGTCTCTCACACAGGTGGTAAAGTTTGCTCTGTAACTTGTCATTCATTTTTCCTTCTTTCCTCTTGTGTTTGCTCTCCAGCGTCTGATACCGACCAGGATGCGGCGGTGAGACTCGACCAGGAGCGGGCTGAGATAGTCGCCAAATATGACAAGGTACGTTGAGAAGAAGAGAACGGGCTTCACCCTGGAGGACATCTCGTGGCGTTGCAGCTTAAAACAAACAGTTTTTTTCTTGAGGTCGTTCACGAGTGAGTCCCTCCTGCTGAGACCAGACTTAATAACACTGTGGTTGAAACCTCCATAAATCTCTGCTTTATTGTCTGTGAGACACAATAACAGCAGCATGTTGTGTGCAGAATCTGCTCCTTTGCGTTTGAAACATAAATCATAAATCCGGCATAAGGCTGTGATGAGGATGCTCAGCAGACATTAACATGTAAATTACTACAATTTCGTATTTTGTTGCTCCCTCGATGATTCACATTCGGCGCGTGCTCGTTCAGACAGAAGTCTCCTCAGCAGAGCAGGAGTTTTAAAAGGAGGCGAAGGACAAAGATTTGTGTTTATTCGTCAAAGTTAACATCAAGAGGTTAATGTGACGTCGTGGACACAAAGTGATTTGAGTTGGCTGAGATCCAGAGATGCCCGTTTATGAAACACCCAAACAGAAAAGCCGCTGTCAGCAGTAGCACAGATGTATTGATGTCGAATTTAAGGTTTTTAAACATGAAAAAATAGTTGCTCCCTTAATGTCAGCCATTATAGATTGTCCCCTAATGTGAGTATGTGTCTATGATATTAAATGTTATAAATAGAAAACATTTCAACAGATAAAAGCCAGTTGAACTTTTACTTTGAAGATTTATCTCCAAACTTCTGTTGTGATTTATCCGTCTCTTATCCTCCGATCTGTCGGACATGGACTCTCTGAGTTTGTGTGTGTGTCTGTCTGTGTTTGTGTTGTGTGTGTGTGTGTGTGTGTGTGTGTGTGTGTGTGT